ATCATAGTTGCCCTTAGAGCTTGTTTAATTTGGGGAACAGAATATGAGAAAACTGTATGTAATATAATATTCTTGGTTGAGCTAACTAGAAGCCACTGACACTTAGTGGGGGTATAAAGATCCTCTTCCCCCATGTGCAGCACACTGAATGCATAGAAGTAGGAACAGGAACATGTTCCACTAGTCCAGTCTGGCATTCCTTTTGCCCCTGCCTTGATGTACACACTTTTGTGAAAGGGGGATTTGTGCATGTACATCTCTAGAGCTGGAGACTCTTCCTTATGATCAGGAACTTGAACCAAACTAAGTCTAACCAGAGTTCCCAATTGTGTGGAGAAGCATATGCATGTATCATTATTTTTGATAGGATAACCTCTCTGATGGACTGTGGGAATGCTATGGACATAATCTATCTTGACTTCAGCAAAGCTTTGGACAAAGGGCCTCATGATATCCTGATTAGAAACTAGCTGATAGTGGGCTAGATCAGGTGGATCCACAATTGGCTACAGAATTGGAGTCAGAGAGTGCTTATCAGTGGCACCTTCTCAAACCGGTGAGAAAGAACAAGTAGGGTACTACAAGGTTCAGTTCTGGACCCAGTGCTCTTCAACATTTTTATTAATGATTTGAATGAGGAAGTGCAGGGAACTATTAACAGACAGATGACACAAAACTGGATGGGATAGTTAATGCTCTGGAAGACAGACAGAAGATTCCAGGTAATCATGATGGGTTGGAGGGCTGGACTGAAAATAACAGCATAAAATTAATTGAGGGCAAATGCCAAGCTCTACACCTTGGGAAAAAAAAAACTGAATGCACTGTTTCAAGATGGGGAATACATGGCTCAATGTTACTGCGAGTGAGGAGGATGTTATAATGATTGTAAATTATGAGCTGTTCGCAACCTGATCACAACAATAAAAGGGGAAATGCTATTTTAGTTTGTATTAGAAGTATCATTTCAAAATCCTGTGAAGTATTAGTTCCTCTTTACTCAGCACTGGTTATGCCTCATCCTGAGTACTGTGCCCATTTCAGGGCACCATACTTTAAGATAGAAGCAGACAAGCTGGAAAAGGAATCAGAGAAGAGCAACAAGGATAATCCAGGGACTGCAAACAAAGCCCTCTTAGGAGAGATTGAAAGAATTGGGTGTGTTTAGCTTTGAGGAGAGAAAACTGAGGGGAGATATAATAGCACTCTACAAGTACTTGAAAGGCTGTCACAAAGAGGAAGGCCAGGATCTCTTCTCGATCATCCCAGAGTGGAGGACACAGAGTAATGGGCTCAAGTTACAGGAAACCAGATTCTGGCTAGAGATCAGGAAACATTACTTGACTGTTAGAGTAGTAGAACAATGGAAGAAATTACTTAGAGAGGCTGTGCACTCTCCAAAACTAGAGGTATTCAAGATGCAACTGGGTAGCCATCTGAGAGTGATGGTTTACGTAACTTTGTGTCCTGCTCTGAGCAGTGGGTTGGACCCTCTGGCCCCTTCCAACTCTACTATTCTATTCTCTCACATGAATTCTTAGTACACAGCTATTATGGGCGGAGCTAGTAGACACAGTCCATGCCTTTGGTATACACATGGGGGAGAAATGTTGCCCACTCTTGAGCAAACCTAGTGTAGTAGACATAAGAGTAGTATATGCGTCTCCGGTTTCTCTATTTTTTTCTTCCAAGTATGGGCTCATGTAAAGCTCTGAATATCAGGCACAATCACTAAGTATGTTTCAAGAGAGAGACTGTCTCCAGTATTAGCAGTATTATGCCTATGTACTCCAGTTGTTGGGAGCATGTCCTGTCGCACTCCTGTCCTATTTGTAGAATCCTGTGGGCAGCTGGTTTGTCACCATGTTAATAGAATGCTGGACTAGATGGATCCTTGTTCTGACCCAGCATGTCTCTTAGGAACATAATTGTAGCCTGTCCTGTCATTAGTGAGTCCCTTAAAATGATAGATCTTTAGAGATCTGTTTTCACATTGCAACTGCAGAACACCACAAAAAGTTGTTCCCCATTTTTAATAATTTAACAATATTGTTTTTAGCTTCTAGCATGAGAAGACAGACTAAACCTTTACATCTTAATTTCTGATAGGTGAACCCCTCTTAGAGCAATTTTGGAATGGGTCAGTATTTATGGCCCTTCTCAAAGAAGTCTCAAAGAAAACATACAGTGCCTTGCAGAGGTATTTATTTCCCCACCTTTAACTCTTCTACATTTTGTTGTTTTCCAACCTGGAACTGAAATGAATTTAATTGACATTGTTACCATTTGACATGCACCCGATACTCAAAGCAGTGAAGGGGCATAATATTTTAGTGAGCTATGAAAGTTAACAAAACAAACTGTAACTTTATGATTGCATAAGTGTTCACCCTGAGTCAATGCTTGGTAGAAGCATCTTTGGCAGTAACTGTAACTGTAGTTTTTCTTGGATAAGTCTTTTGTGTATATATGGTAAAAATGCCAGTTAAATCCATTTCCATTGCAGGTTGGTAAACAAAATGTGCAAGGCATTGTATCTTTTCTACATATTGGCAGGGTTTATATGACATGATAACCCAATGTAACTTTTCACAGTCATCTGAACCTAGGCCACATTCAAAGGGTGGCTTATGCTTATGATACAAGCCATCCTGACAACTCAGAAGCTTTTCTGTTGTTATATGCCATCAAGTCATCTCCAACATATGGCAACCCTATGAATGAATTCCATGATAGCTTTATTTAGCTCTCCCAATTTCAAGGCTGTGGCTTCTTTTACAGGTTCAATCCATCTCATATCTGGTCCTCCCTTTTGTATTCTGTCTGACTTCCTGTAACATGGTTGTCTTCTCCAGGAAGCCTTGCCTTCTCATGATGTGCTTGAAATATAACAGTGTCATTTTTGTCATTTATGCTTCAAGGGAAAGCTCTGGCTTCATTTGTTCTAGGTCCCACTTGTTTATCTTACTGTTGGTCTGGGGTATTCAGAAAGGTCATCTCCAGCAGCATGTTTGAACAGAACTTTTTTTTTCTTATTGTTAGTATCTGGGCAGCTACAGGGTTCCTCCGGCTGGCAAAAAGCCACAATAACAGCCCTTTTAGTTGCAGGATTACTCGCAGACTGCTGCAGCTGCCAGGACCTTCATGCCACCTGGGAGCCCTAGGGGAGGAGCTATCTAAGAAGCGGCCCTTCCCTCCAGAATCTGCCTTGACAACACCAGCTTCTAGTGCTGAAGCTCTCTGGAGTCCCTGGCCCCTCAAGCTATCTTTTTGGCGCCTGATCTCTAAGGTTTCTTCTGCTAGTTTTCATTCCTTCCTCTGTTTCTGATCCAGATTTCCTTACGATATGCTCTGAGACAGATTGAACATATAAGGAGATAAAATACATCCTTGTCTGACATCTTTGCTTATAGGAAACCATTCTATTTCTCTGCATTCTGTCCTTAAGATAGGTTTTTGTCTATTAAACAAGTTACACATCAGAACAAACAAGCGCAGAGGTGCACTCATTTCTTTCAGGAGCATCCCTAGCATCTCAAGATCCACAGTCGAAGTCTTTTCAGTTGTTCAGTCCATGATTGGTCATGGATGTCCAAACCTGGGAGACCAATAGAAGCAAACCCCTCTGCTTGATCTCACTTGGGGCAATGACTTTCTACACTTGGGCTTAGATGGCTCTTTGAAGCAACCTTCACTATGCCATGCCAGCTTTAAAAAAAAGTCTCAGAAAGTTGTGTTTATTTTTTTTAAATATATTGCTAAGATTATTGTTCATGGCCTTTTGCAGTTGGGAAAGAGTGCACTTAAAACTACTTGATACATGTAGTCTTGCCTTGCTACTGGCCTTGTAAATTTCAGTTTTCATATTGAAGTAGGTAACAGATTGACAAGGCAAGACTGCATGTAGACTAATTTGTGCAGCTGCAAAAGACAGAACAAAAAGTTTAAAATGACAAAAATACTCATAATATTTTTAGGGATTGAAAAGCATTAATAATGAAAGACCCCAGATCACACTTTTTTGAACAAACAAATGAACCCTGGTAGAAGGAGTAGCCTGGAAGGGCTTTGTCACAAAGGACACTGAGATGCAGCATGGACCACTGGGAGAAGGGCAGAGGCAGTTATAAATATAGTAGCATTATGAACACTAATATCCTTCCCTCATAGTTGTTTGTAAAACAAAAATATGAATGAATGAAAGTGGAAGAGCAGCAATTAAAATGCACAGTCAAGCTTAATTAATACAAGTAAAGAATTGGCCTATCTGTAATGTTTTCTTTAGGCAATTTGTTGTGCTGTCACTTTTACACTGGTTTTTATTAAAGGTACTGTAAGTTATGCTAACAGAAGCTTGCTTTCAGGAAGTGTGACCTTTGGCAGTTTCTCAGAAATATGGTGGCATTAGGTTTTACTACACATTAGACTCTTGCATGAATAAGGTCCTGGCTTACAATACACCCAGTTAAAATAATCACTAGTCATAGGGCACACAAATACTTCCAGCTGAGACCTTGGAGATCTGCTTTCAGTTGAGTAGATCTAGATTAGGTGGAACAATGGTTTGTTTCCATATAAGGTTGCTTCATGTGTTAAGATAATTAATTGTAGTCTCTTTAGACAGTTTGATTACTGCTTTTTATATCATTCCTACTGTTGACTGAAAAGTATAAATAGAATCTATGCAATGAATTTTTTATAATAAATACGGCACCATATCTCTTAACAGAATACTCACTGTATATATCCTTCTCCCAGTTCTGTGCTTGCTCTAAAGTTTCCAGGTGTTTCATGTTTATACTGAGTACTAGATGGAGAGTTCTGATATGTTCACTTCTAGCAAGTGTTACGAAGTTAGATATAATGAATGGTATGAAGTATTTTTCCAGTAGGTGACTAGATGTCAGTACTGATAAGTATGCCATAAAGTAAAACAAGAGGATATCTCATCAGGCAGGATAAGACACAGAGTTATAGCTGTCATGTTTCACTTTTATTAGGTGGTCTGCAATGTTGGAACTGATGCTGTGTACCATTCCAGTTCAAGACTGAAACTTCAGGCTTTTTGAGGTCTGGAAAAGGAAGGTAAGTAGACGTTATCACTGCCAACATATGTATTTTTCTCTTTCTTTTAAAGAAATTATGCAGAACTCTGCTCTGTGATAGATATTGCTGCCTGTGTAAGTTTTGGGAAGTGAGTTGTTAAGGGGAAGACAAGCTATATTATTCACATAACGCTGCCTCCTTTTAGTTTTGCCTGCATCCTTCCCTCAGTTGAACATATAAGACATTGCTGAAGGCTGGCATGAATGTAGAATTGGATCTAGCTTCACATATGTGCACAGTCTTCAAGTACAGTGAACTTTTATGAAAGCCGTTTACCTAGTATAGGCACCTCATGGTATAAAACAGATTGGCATAGATGCTAATAAAAGGAATCTTCTGCCAAGGTATGCTTTTTCTAGATTTCCTTTCCAGAAACCTTGTGCCAGCTCTACAAGCTGTTAGATAATTAGCCATGTGTGTTTCCTTGCGGGGAGGGCAGAACAGCTGCAGAGAAGAAATTCCATATTGCTTCATGTCCATAGATGTTGCACATGTACACACTAATGGAGTACAGCTGTAAAATTCAAGTAATATTTCCTTTTAAAGGTTGGCATATTTAATCTGTTATGTAGAAAATAACTATTTTACATATTTTTTTCCTCTCAAACTCTCCTCTCCCTTTCTATTTTGCTTTTCCATTCTTAGTGTTACCATTCAGCCTATTCAAGAGGCACACTGATTTCATTTTAGTTCTTATATTTCCTTGATATCCCATATTCAGTTTGTTGCCAAGTTATGCTGCTTTTCTCCTTGAAAGAATGCAAACATCTTGCTCTTTAACTCTGTTTCTTTGGAAAAACTTTGGTCCATCACCTAATTACCTGTTGCCTAGTCTACTACACTTTTTTCCTCCTTGTTTTTTCTTAATGGTCCCCTCACATCTATCCAACACTCTGCTGCCAAAAACATTAACCTCTCTCATGACTTCAGTCATGTGACACCCTTTGTTAAATCTTACTATTGTCTTCTTAGTTTAGGCCAAACTTGTTTTCCTTAATTTCAAAGGATATGGACTTGTCTTGCCTTTCCACTGTGTGGAAGGGGATTTCCAAGTGCCAGCAAACCAAGACATGAGCCTCCAAATAGGGACCATAGTGTGTTAAAGTGGTTCCATTGGAATTGTTAAATATAATTAAGCCCAAAAGCAGGTGTAGATGGAGAGACCAGACCTTAATTTTCCAGGATATTACTCCTACCTTTATCCTTATTTTTTATTGACTTAATATAATTGCTTTGCACAGTTTGGTGATAAATTTTTTAGTTGCCTTGAATGTTAAATGGAAAATCTAATAGATACATGCTATTAGATGGATATGATACAGGAATCTTACGTGGATGTGAATTAGGTACCTGTGAGGGAAGTATACTCTTTCTGGAGATCTGGTGTATTACACTGTGCCACTAACTAGTTAATGGGGTGATATGAGTTGTATCTTATGAGAAGTTTGCGCATTCCTTCTTTGAAAATAAATATGATTAGCCAATTTGGAGTGGATAGAAAAGGATGAATATTAGTAGAAATTCTAACATATTCATCCTATATGTATTCCAGTCAATAATGATTATTTATGTTAATATTTGAAAAGATCATGTATCCATTGTCTTGAGCTATGTAAAGCCATTTTTCTGACACATTGAGGTCAGTCTAACAAGATAATTATAGTATGTTAGAAATTATAGATGTGTTAGAACTTCCAGAAAAAAAATGAAACAGAATTTAGAAATGAGAATAGCCTCCTTCTCTGTTAGCAAAATCAGATGTACTTTTGCATTTGTAAAAATCATTTGTGGGCTGGAACTACTAGGTGGTATATTTTCCTATGATTATACAAAGGAGCAATATATGGATTTTAACTGGCCTCCTTTTCAATTCAAGTAAACATTAAATACATTCTTAATGGTCTGATTTGCTGGGAAGAGCACTTTTACAATAAAAGTCCTTTTTTTACAGCTCATATCAGCCATTGCATCAGAGAACTTGGATCACTTATTACAAAGTTTACGCTTTGGGAGACATTTTGATGGTATCTCAGAGTGATGCCTGATAGTTCTTGGAATTAGCCCTTAATGATACCATTTTCCAAAAAGAGTTGTTGCTCAAACAAATTTGATTGTTTTGCAGTTAGTGCCTAAACTAATAGGTACAGTTAAACTATCCTTAGATTTATTGAAAACTGCTGTTGTCTTAGTAAATATACAAAATCCTTATGGAAGAGAACACATTCAAGTTTGAAACTACATAGAGGTTGAAACTATATAACCTTTAGCTGACGTTAACACAGATTTTACATGCTGCCAGCTTGAGAACAAGGGTCCATTTCGTTAGTTGCCATGTAGTACAAAATTCAAAGCTCAATGCATATATCATGCCAAACCATAATTTTGAACCCTGATCAGACTTTGACTTCCACACATACTAGATAAACACAATTCAAAGCTGCTAGTTTCCTTTCATTCTGTCTTTTCAGCACTTCAGTCCACAGTGCAGAAACCTCTAGAAACATGGCAATGGGTGTAACTGTAACTTGTTAATTCAAACTAAATCATAGTTAGCACATACCATGGTTTGCAAACCCTCTTCAGACCATGCCTTTTAATCTAGCTTGATGATCAGATGGATACTGTGATTTTGACATGTTGGATGTTATGCCAAATCATAGTTAAGCTTTTCTTAAATATGGTTTGGCATATGGTCTGAATACAGTGAGAATCTAGAGCACGTTGTAAACTGTCTTCTTTATTAAGAAACTATTGTTGTGTTCAGCTAGGTACCTGTATGTTTCATGCAGAGTCTTGTAGTACCAGGGGAGAATTTTATTTTTTCTTCACTCTGCTCTGCTTGCTCATTCAGTGCTGCCTTTTCTTACTCCAGTGTTCTCAGTGCAACTCACAGCACAGTAGGTCTAATATAGATTGACGCCTTTGCCAGAAGACTGATTGAAACTTGTGTCTCATAGTTGCTAATGTTCACTGAACCATTTTATTGAAGATAAAGTAAATAAAATAGATTGCCATATGAGAATTCTTTGAAATCCAATGGAATAATTTGACAAGTTTAAGCCTTTAAAAAAGGCAGTGTACTGAGGCAGATGTGAATACTGTCTATGCAGAGCATACAAGAAAAAAGCTTTATTGTGTATAATGTCATCTGAAAAGTACCAGTAACTATACCTCAAATTGCAATGTTGAAAGTCTGTTAATATGATGCAAAATGATCAATATATATCATAATTCTAAACATGATTTTTAAAAAGTGCATTAGGTAAAATATTTACACAGTTTTCCCTATTATTTATATTAAAATTATGCACGTAGATTGCTTATAGATTTGTGTGCCTGCAAAATATTATTTTACAGTTCACACTGTGTTTGAAGGTACAAATGGCAGACTTGCCACATCTGTGTAGTATGTTCTGAAGTTTCAGAGAACAGACTTACTAAGCCTCTTGTTTGAATAAAATTGAGCTATTGTTTGAAATCTGTAATTCACTGAAATGAAGGAGAAATTGTCATTGGCAACTGACAGTTGAACTACTGGGTGCACATATAGTATTGTTAGGCTGTAGCAATGTGAGAATGTATGAGAACGTTGTTTTGGCTTGCAGATCATCCAGATTTGCTCTGTTTGCAACATTGAATGAAAATGGGAGTGCATTCTTTTCCCAAAATGCACACTTGCTCATTAATTCATTTGTATACTTTTTAGAATTTGAACCGAATTTTGGAGAGCTCTAACATCCCTGGTTCTTCCATTCCTTGAGATCAGCTTATATGATCTAGAATTCTTTTTCACCACTTCCATCTTATATTAGTGAATGTAAAAATGCATTTTATCCCACTCTTGTTTGTTTATCTTGTTATCCTCCAGCCTGCACAACTTGTGACCAGCCAGGCTACATGTGGTCTACCAGCCATGAATTGTGGCCTGTCTGGTGCTTGGCAGCCTGGCTGTTTCTACTGCCCTGGGTAGGGAGCACATGTGGGGAGTTTATTGGTCTCCTGGTAAGCTGCCATGTATGAATGGTTGCCTATGTTTGGCTTCATGGACCACAGACTGTTCTTTATAAGCAATGCCTTTTCATGCTATTCCTAGCATGTGCAATACCACAGACATATTGTGTCTCTCTTGTTTACTCCTCTTCTTCCACACTAACTTGAGATGTATGCTCTTCTCTGTTGGGACACACTAGGTAGAGTTTTGAAAAAGAGTCTTTTGAAATTACACACATCTCTCTTTCTCTCTT